GAGGGCGGTCAGATGGTCTGGGTTCTGGATCAACAGGAGCCGGGTGTAGTTGGAAGACTTCCTCTGGGTCCTGTTGGCCAGTCGTTGGATTGTTCTCGTATATCCTATGGAAGCGTTGCGAGACGGATGCGTAGATGATGGCTAGTGTCTTCTGTGGTATGGCCAGTTGATGGTTTCCATAGACCAGGAATGGATGGTGTGGGTTTGGGGTGGTGATAGTCGATGGGGTTTTGAAGATCTCGACTTCGGTTCTGTGGAAGAAGAAAATGAAGAAAACAGCAGAAATCAACAAGAATCAAGAAGAAGAAGAGAGAGAATGAGGAGATACTCACATCGGCAAGCTCGAGAGGAGTATATTCAGTCGATCGCAGAGTGCTTCTGGGCTCATTAGCTGCTCCATCTTCTCGATGGTTGTCGTTGGAAAACAGCTGCATACTTGATCAGTGCTCGAGTTCGAGCCAATTAGCCATGACACCCCGCATACATACAACTAAACAATACGGCAACACTTATCAAATTCTCAATTCTCTATCCTCATGAATGAGTGCATGTATTATGTAGATGAATTTGAGAAAAAAAAAGAGAAAAGTTTAGATGAATACAGATAACTAGAAACAAAAAAATGACAATCCACAGAGAAATACAAGATGCTAGGAGAGATAATACAATTTATCATTTTGGTTGACTTGCCTATATATAAAGGCAAGTCATCTATAGGTCGGTAGAAGAATGAAGGAGGAGAGCAAGGGAGAGGAATACAAGAGATATGTCGACGGAGAGGGGGGATGGATGATCAGACGACATGAGCGGAGTCATCGACGATCATCAACTGAGAGCGAGGATCACGAGCAGACTGGTCCGGATGGTCGACTAGATCTGGTGGCATGCCCATCGATGAAGGCGCGGGGTGATCAGGAGAGCCTTCGAGTTCGATCGAATCTAGCTTGGTCTGCCGTCGATAGATCAACGCTTGGGTTAGGATTAAGATATCGATCGAGAGTTGAAATAATGCACTTTTGAAGTCGAAAGTAAGACGTCAGTTTCTCTTTCTTTCGTTGATTGTATGTATGTAGTGGATTCTGCACAAACAGAAGAACTGATAACTGACCAGATCTTGAATTGGATTGAATTCGAATCGGGAGTAACGAAGACTAGATAGACCGATTTAAAACTATCTCCGAATAGCCAGCCAAACAAGACCATCGAACTCAGTCCAGCTAGAGATTTCCTACGAAAGTTAGTGATTAATTGTGGGATTGGTAACTTAAGAATGTTGAGTCACAGATGGGAAAAGAAAGCAATGAGTTTATTGATTGGTGGGGAGGTTGTGAGGTGTATGAATATGTACCGTGCTTTCGAGCCCCAGAGAGAAGAAACCGATGGCTTGAATAAACCAGTCATATCGTTGAAAGAGGATAAAGAGGGCGGCTTCGACGGCAAACAAGAGAGCGAAGAAGTCGATATAATGATCGAAGGAGTGAGGGGAAGAGCGATTGATAGGGAAAGGAGGTTGTTGAGTGCTGAGATCGACAGTCTGATGATTGTGATTATTATTATTGATGATAGTCGGAGGCGATCTGCTCCTGAGAGGTTCGGTTCCGGAGGACTGGAAGACCTGCTCGGGATGGTCATCGTATCGTAAGATCCCGTCCGGTATACAGCTCTCCTGATCTTCGAGCGGTCGACTGGTGGTGTTGGTTGGAGTATACTTCAGACAGATCCTTAGCAGGCCGAGTTGAGCTATGATCATTAGAATCGATTGCACTAGTAGGGCCGTGTCAAATCTCTCCCCAAGCCAGTAAAACAATCGCGTAATATTGGCTATCCTAGTCCGTAAACATGCCCCAGAAAAAAATAAAAATATATGTCTCAATTAGCTGGATTCCTTCTTCAGTTTTCTTTATTTATGAAACAAAAGAAGAATATACGGACAGAAGAACTACACAGATCAGATGCGAAAACCCTTGCGAACTCTGCGTCTTTTGGATCGACACTAAACTCCACAAAAAAATCAAAAGAAAGGAATCAGTCATAATTCAGTATTTGAAAGAGAGATAAAGTTAGAAGATGTAGGAGTACTCAACGGTATTGATCGAGATAGACCAATGGAGATCCTAAGGCTGGTTCAAGGTGACGAAAACAAAGAGGTCAAGAGAACAAAGGGTGGTGAGTTAGATGTGTAAGTTGATGATAATGAGGAGATAAAAGTGATATATATTTAGATACCTATTCCAATACTAGCCAATGTGCTCATCCAAGCCATCCTGGGGAATCCTCTCTCTCTCTCTCTTGACTCGTGGTGGTGGAGGTGGTTGGAATGTGATGCGATGGTGGTGGTGGTGGATGTGGTTTTGGTTGGTTGAGTCTGGGATTGGCAAGATCTTGAACTTTTCCCATCATTTCTGTTGTGTTTTTGTGTTTTTGTGTTTATGTTTTCTGTTTTGTCCATCTCCACATATCCCCATAAACCATACACACTCAATCAACGCATACATACAGAAACAGCATACTCCAACATCAATTCACCAGCAGTCAAAGGAAATCAAACAACGCTTCATTCCTCAATGATTTTCTCCCTTCTTCATCTGATCTGTAATCCTGGTACATGATTTCATATTCCAAAATGCCTGTTCCAGAAGAGTAATAACCCCCCCCCCCAAAAAAAAAAACTTAAATATGTACTCAAACAATCTGCCTATTATTATCCTTGTGTAATTTTTGCCATTGTGTGGCTCTTCTTCAGATTTCTTTACTGCATACTGAATATTTTCAAACTTAGATTCCACTTGGGTTTAAAAAAAGATAAATAAAACATTACAAGACTGGTCTTGACTACATAGTATCTGGATTTTGTCATTGAGATAGTGCTAGACGGCCAACATGGGTGGTGGATATATCAAATAATTGTTTGCTCAGGATCAAGATAGTTGATACAGTAACTGATTATGCAGTGTGATTAATTAAAAAGTGTCATCAAGTATAAGGTTCCAAAAGTGAAAAACCAAAAATAAGTACTGTTGATTTTCTTCATTCGGGAATTTTTTTGGAAAGTATGGATAGGAGAACATGCAGTCCCCCACTCAACACACAAGTCCAAAACTTCAGAGAGCCGTTCAAGAAGACTTTCTTAGAGGGGTCGAGGAAGTATTCTCTTGATTCGGGAAATCCATGCCAAAAAACAAGGTGAGTTATCCCAAAGACAATCAAGCAGGACAGTGCCTCTTTGAGGTAGTCAGATTGCCAAGCTAGAAGACCATTGCGATTGGCAATCTCAGTGTGACGATTTGAGGGATGTACTTGCGCCAGTTCATGCACAACAAGCTCATCAGTTGAATACAAGGATGACCCAGTTGGGCCTTGAGGCTTGAAGAGGCCATCTAATGACTCGACAGGTGTTTTAGCAACATGGGATTGTTCAGTGGTAGCAGGTTGGCCAGCGGCGATGGACTTTTCAGCTGGGATGAGTCCCTGAGTGGCCAATAGATCATCCCCGTTATAGACAGGCTCGATGGGTTTTGCACTGGCAATGAGTTCTTTGCTGGTTGATGGACCAAGCCCATTCCGTTCATTTACTACCCCATGTTTGTATTCGGTGTCTTGACATACTCTTTCAGCAGGGATATCATCCAAGCCGACGGGCATCGAGATTGTGGGTACAATGACAGCGCAGACCTATATCCGAAGAACGGGATCGCGTTAGATCTCCATCTCACCATCCGTAAATAAGAGTAAGATGATTAAACTGAACTGTGAAGAGCACGAGTGGTAAACGCAACATATTTTCTCTCGGCGTAATCAGGAGCAATTAGGGAGAGAAGAGAATTGTGCAGCTTTGCTATTGTGGAACCAGTCCAGCACTAAAATCAAGATAGGGTGAAAGGAGGTTCACGGATTTCAGATAGACCAGGAAGGCTCTTGATTTATGGAAGATGGTCCACTGCGCAAAGAGAGCTCTGGTCCCCACAACCGGTTCTTGCCCGTTTCATCAGAGCTTGGCGAGGAGCCGAGCCAATCACGTCGGCACTGACCCACCTTTCCTCGCCACTTGCCACTGGTTACCTGGGATGAGGCACACACTCAAGATTTGTACATATCTGATTGCTTGACACGAAAGATCACCTTCAAGCCGCCCGCTGGACAGCTTTTGTGCCGGGCATGTTCATTCTATCTACATAAACAGATCTCGACGTGGAGAAATGTTGAGTGAAACATTGATGAAAACTTGTAAAGTACAGTCGAGATGACGTCAATCTTTAAGACATCGGTTACCAATTTCCGATGTTGCAAAGACTCTGCACGTGCTAGCTTACTTGATACGTAGGACGTCATATCTGGATGGAAAGGTTTGGCCATCAATTCAATAAATTATTGCCTGCCTCATTCAAACACCTTATTTTATTTTCATTATCATTGTGTACTCTGGCAATTTTTCTGATGTGTTTATTTTTCCTAAACAAATTCATGGAATACATGCAGTCAAGAAAAAATGGTTCAAAATGTATATGCAGAGGGGAAAAAAAACTCCAACAAGTCACTGGTGGTGCAGATTACATTGGGTGTTTGTTATATTTGGTAACTGATATGGCAACATAGAGCAACCCACCAAACCAAGAAACCCAAAAAGGTAGAGAAGCGCTCAGGAACACTTTCTTAGAAGGATCAAGGAAATATTCTCTAGATTCAGGAAAGAAAGATAAAGAGGCATGTGAAATGGTGGCAAGCAAAAGCCAACAATGTAGCACCCTCTTGAAATAATCAATTGATGGGTTTAAATAGCGGTTGAAATTCGCAGTATCAGTATGTGGCCCCAGCTGGTTCTTGACAGTGTCCTCATTCAAATTTAACACCCCGGTCGAGTCTTTGGACTCAGGTTTATCCATTGATTCGACGGGTTTCTCGGTCATTTCCAGTTCTCCCGGGGTGGCGGATTTGCCAGTAGTAACGGATTCCTCAAGGGTGGAGGGTCGTGCAGCGGTAATGGTATTTTTAGCTTTGGCGGGCTGCCGAGTGGTGACCAGCAATTCCGCGATGGCGGATGCAGTAGTGATGGGCTTTGAACTTGTAACAAGTTCTTGACCGATTGATTGAGCAGGCGCATCCGGATGGTCCTCCACTTCCCCATCATCCAAAACTAAAACCGATGTTCCTAGAGCATGCTCATGTTTGCAGGCGTTTTCACATACCCTTTCACCAGCTGGGACATCAGAGCTGACGGGTATCGAGAACGTGGGTACAATGCCAATGCCAACCTACCGAAATAACAAAATTTTGTTATACCTGAGTATGCTGCTCATTCGGGCCACAAAATGAAAAGATCAAAATTAAGGTCACCGAACTCAACTATAAAAAGTAGCGACAATTGTAGCATTTTCTCTCTATCAACCAATCAACCGAAGGGACAAAGAGGGAAGATTAATGGTATAACGAGATTTTTCCACAGGAAGAACTTTTCAAGACACTCTCAACGGAGAGAAGTTGCAAATACCAGGCAGGCTTAAACGAAGACTTTTTAAATAGATTTCAAAATACATAGTCTACTATACAGAAGCTCTGCTCTAGTCAACACAATTTGTTTTCGGCACTTCGATGGCAATGCGAGCTCAATGTGGATATTTTACCCGCGATACTTCCTACTTCTTGGCCGAAGTGAGGCAATTACTCAAGAGCGGTATTCTTGAACTCACTGCGGTGGGTCAGCTTTCATAAGCGGGGGAAAAGAACACAACGCGCACTGCTTCAAAAAGATGAGCACGTTGGAGGTCCCCGCTTGACAGCTCTTGTTGCGGGCTATTTTCCTCGCCTTGACTGGTAATCAGTAGCAGTACCGATTAGGCTACGAGTCGGGATACCATCAACTCAAGTCTCAATGAAGTGTATATAAATCGTAACCTTTCGATATTCGCGCAAGTGAACTTGTGAAAAAAATAAATGAGGGCAGTGTATCAATATTATCTTTTGCCTGCGTGTTAATAATTGCATACCTGAGATGAAGCACATGCTCCAGCGCGGCTTCAATTGGCGGATTGCTGGGGGAGTTGTCAAAGCAAACAACATTGATATTTATGTGAAGAAAAGGAGCATCAGAGACAGATTGAAGTGAATGTTTCGACATTTTGAAGGTGAAAATTGTGAAAGATTGATAAACAAATCAGCTTCATAAACAGTAACTCAAATGGTGACACCGTAGGTTTTCCGTGTTGGCTGTTTGGTAGTCTAGGGAGGAAACGTTGCGCGAGAAATTAACAATCCAACCAAAACACACAGCCATAAAGGAATGGGGACGCCAGTTATCGATTGTCCTAGCACCAGGCTGATGATGATGGCGAAAGCTTGGATGGCGCGGGCTGTGGAAGTTGAAACTTGATAGGTGTTGGCGATCAACGCCAGTCGATTCGAGTAAGTTGCCCGTGCCGGCTGATGCACGGCAAAAGTCACCCGCCTACTCGAGCGCTCGGAATCGGATTGATCGATTGATTTGGCGCCCTTTGCTGAGATGTCGCGTTGTGCGGCGGTGACTGATTTTCTAGCGGCGACGGGGTTTCCAGAGGGGATGGTTTGTTCAGCGATGTGTTGTCCCCCTGGTTCCATGGCGGCAGGCCTGGAGTAGCTAGGCATCGAGAAAGTGGATCGAGCCACAGTGCAAGTCTATCAAAATAATCTCATGATATCAGATAACGATTTCTCTTGTCAATTGTGAAAAAGAAAGAGTAAGGCAATCACACTTAACTATGACGAGAAGACGCAAGAACAACATGTCTATCTTTCTGCGCCTGAAGCAAGTTTAAGACCGTGATGATATTGAGATTCTGCTACGGGATGAGCTTGATGGTGCTTCAAGAGAAAGTGAAACAACCTGGGGACTCATAAACATCAGGTTAGCCATCAAGGCTCTTATGAAGATGTCAAGCTGGTTGATTGCGCAGAGGTTTTGCCCTTTCTTCCCCGTTTCATCCAGCCTCGGCGCGGAGCCGAGTCAGCCGCGGTACATCGTGACCCACCTAGGTCCAATACCCACTTCTTGCTACTGGGTGAGGCAAATTCTCCAGAGCGGTATCACTGAACAGATTGCCGGTGCTCAGCTTCAACTTGCAGGGGAAATACCTACTGCGGTTGGTCCTGACCTTCTGTAGGGGAGATTGGTTCACCCAGAGTCCAGATTGGTTAAGAAAACATAACACATTGATAACTAAGCGAGATGCAAATAACCTGAGCCTATCGCAACAAAGTCTTTAAAAAAAATCTGGTAATACCTTTCCATTTCCCAAACAAATTGTTGACATTAGGGGGGTTCACGATAGCTTTTCACCAGAAAAGTTTTATCGTCCCACCAGTAGAGTTGCGCATGCTGCGCACTTAAAATTATAAGCTACAATCGAAGTAACCAGAAGTGACCCACCAGTAAGATTTAGCTATGGAAACGGACTGGCAATCCACTTGAGTTTTCTGGTGCCCAATCACTTAAGTTTTCTGGTGCACATTCACCGACCTAACCAACCATTCTCACCGGCACCCGGAACCTCCTCACAACCCAGCATGCACAAATACAGTGAGCGGCAACAGATAGTCCGCGATCTCTTCATGTTACTTATATTCCTCCACCAAAATGAGACCGACAACCTCCTTGACTCATCCATCAAAATTCCAATTGTTCCGTCACTTGGACAAATCACGGCCCCTAGGAATCCCGGCCGGGCATTACTGCTAGATCTTTTGTTTGATGATGAGGCGATGGTGTCTGATCTTTTGCAGCTGGTACTGTCAAACCGATACCTACACGACCGATTGCCAGGAAGAACACACGATGAATTCAATTTGGCACAGCTTTTCGACATGCGAGATGACGACTTCAAGCAGGCGGTCCGGACTACGAAGCCTGGTTTCATCTGGCTCTTGAACGAAATCCAGTTAAACCCAGTTTTTCACAGTGAAAGCTTCCGTCCTCAACTGCCCATTGCCCATCAATTGGCTCTCACACTTGAGAGGCTTGGTTCGAATGGCAACGGCGCCTCGGTTGGACGTTTCTCTAGGAACTTGAGTGTTGGCCGCGGGACTGTTGTCAAGGCTAGTCGTAGGGTCATACGGGCGATCAATGATTTATCAGGTCGTTACCTGCTCTGGCCTGACACCAATCGAAGAAGGGAGATTTCTGAAGTCATGAAGGAGGAAGGTTTTGAAGGCTGCGTGGGTTTTGTTGACGGGACGACAATTCCTCTCTACCAGCAACCTTCGATCGATGGCGAGGTGTTCTTTGATTGCAAAAAACGGTATTCGATCAATTGTCAGGTCATTTGCAACTGCAACCGATTTATCACGGCTTACATGACGGGCTGGCCTGGTTCGTGCGGCGACAGCATGGTTTTCAAACGGATGCTGTTACATCAAGAGCCGGAGAAATTCTTTGGTGATGGTTAGTCGTTCGGTGTTGCCTACTATAGATGGGTTATGTTGCTGATTACGTTCCTTATGGTTTGCTTGTGCAGGACAATACCTCATAGCCGACTCGGCCTATGAGTTGGGTGTCCATTGCATCCCTGCATACAAAGCGCCTGCGGCGTTTATTCTGGAGAACACGGAATTCAATTACTGTTTGGCAAGGTCGTGTGTTAGGAACGAACATACGATTGGCATTCTAAAGGGCCGGTGGGCATCGCTACAGGATCTGCGACTGGCTATTCAAAAGCCTACCGACATGATCGAGATCATACGTTGGATAAATTGCTGTGTAACATTACACAACATGCTGGCGCATCTCGGTGATGCATGGGACGAGTTGGACGCATCTACCAATGACACTCCAACTGGGGAGGCAATGGGGAGGAATGATGATACTCCAAAGGATTTCCGGAATCGTGTTCAGACAATATGCTTAGAGAAGAACTACAAGCTGGGGGTTTTGCCGATATACTGGTCTAGTTCTGCTTTTTTGCCAATATAGTATTACTGGTCTAGTTCTGCTTTGGGCACTATTGGTCCTCATGCAATTGAAATTTTCATTCCTGTTCCACATCACTTAACAACCGACGGTTTGTTCTCACGACCTATGCGTGCTCTGTAAGAGCCAGGAGCTCTTCACTATTCCGTACGTGCAAGACCAGAGTCTTGGAGAGATTCTAGAACCAGAATATTTTATTTCATTCAAAACTAGCTCAGAGAGTGAAGAATCAGAATTCTCTCTTCAAAGCTATGGAGTAAAGATAATCAGAGAGAGAGCCAAGAAGAGAAAGAAATGGGAAAACTCACCTAGCTCAGAGAGTGAAGAATCAGAATTCTCTACTGAGCTAGGGAAGGGCAATTGACGGGAATATAAAGGGGATTCCAGATTACATAATTTGTGACACTTCACCTTGTGAACCCCACAGTACATGGGGGGCTTCACAGTCTCCCCTCCTACAAAAAAGAGAAGAGAAAAAAAATGAAACAGATAGTTATGAAAGAAATCAATAAGGGTAAAGAAAAGAAAGACAAGGTGGGAAGGTTGAGGTATGGTGATTCTCTGAATTTGGACCCAGGACAAAATGAATCTTTTGAGTGGTCCAGTCGATGTGCAGCTGTAGGAATCCTTTGGTTGGGATATGTTGGATGATTATTTTGAAGAGGTGCTACTGTTGGCCGGCAATTGATTTGGAGTCTTCTTGATGAGTTGGTTACTTGTCTTGCCTTTAACTTAATCGGTAGACCTGTGACCAGTTGGTGACACCAATTGTTTGAAATGTGTAAGTGGTGGAAGGCAAGGCGACAATGTGACGGCGTTGACACATACCTCTCATCTTTTGCCAGCTGAAGTTCCTCATCAATGGCTGCAAGAGCTTCTACAGTTGCGGATGGCAAAAACCGACCTTGCCCTTTCCGCAAAAAAGTGCCAACTTTGGGCTGTATGCCTGACCGTAATAATCATGCTACATGCACATACTTTGCATCATTGGATGCTACATTCGACGCAGAACATAAAATTATGTGGTACACTCGGTAAAATTGTTTCTAAGAGTTTTTTTTTTCTGTTTGAGACTTGCTACCAAGTTGTACTACATAATTTTGTATTCTACATCCGATGTAGCATTGAAATATGCCAAATTTGTGCACCTACCATGATTATTACAAGCTGCGATAGGCCTCAAAGTTGGCACTTTTTTGCGGAAGGGGCAGGGTCGGTTTTTGCCATCCGCAACTGTAGTTCTTCCGGTCCAAGGTCCTCAAGTGTGATTCCATCTACCTGCGCTGGTTGAATGTTGTCCGCAGTGTCGGAAGCTTCAAGTCCTAGTAAGTGTTCGTCAAGAGCTGCAATAGCTGAAACTGCTGCTGTGCTAAGCTCGGGGAAGTAGTTGATCTCTTCTACTCCTGCTACGTTAGCTGCTCGCTGCGATGGTCGGCCATCTGGCTGGTGGGTTGGTTTTCCGGCAGTAGTGTTTTGACTGGTTGTTGCTTTGGGGGGTTTATAATCAGCCGGTTTAGGAGGGGTCTTGAATGATGAAGGGATTTCTACATAGGATTTGTTGATTTGTCCCGGGCAGGCTCCATTCTTGCTGCCACAGTTTTTCTTGCAGAAGTGACAGCGACCTAGTGAGTCCAAGTAAGAGTGTAGTCTCCAAAGGGAGGATGATTGCGGGGAGGTGCTGCGGTCTTGCGAGGCCCCAGTCACCGGACGTGGTCTTCCACTAGAACGCTTGGGTAAATGCTCAAAAAATCCCGCAACACGTTCTTCAAAGTCACCATAATCAAATGGTTTAATGCAGAGTAGTCGGAAGTCGGATACTTTTCCTTGGAGCTCATCTGACAAGCCAAAAGTAACGTATTCGGCCAATTCAAATTCGCCAAAAGCGTCTTCATCATCAAAGTTTAGCATCGATTGTAAGGTACGTGCTTGTGTGCTGAATTCTAGAAAGCTTTGAGACTCTTGCATCTTGAGTTGTCGGATGCTCCTCTTGATACCCGTACGCCAGTCGGGCGGAAGGGCAAAGGTCATGAGCCGATTTTTAAAGTCAGTCCACGGTTTGCCTGTGTATTTGGTTGCTTCGTTGGCGTAGAATGATAGTAGATTGGTTTCGGCCAAGAGGCCACCAACTAATCTAATCTTATCGTTGGCGTGCTCTACTTCCTTGGAAGTGAAGAAGATTTGAAGACTATGAATCCACTGTAGAAAAGGTTCGACGGCATGAAAGGGGCCCCGATAGACCGGCCCATCAGAAATCTTAAATCGTTGTAAGTCTATACGTCCATGTGCGGGTTGTAATGGTGGTGGAGTTGACTCGGTTTTCACTGCCGAGTTGATAGCAATCTCTTCGAGTCTTGCTATCCTCGCCGCACTTGCTTCTCTCTCTGCTTCTGCTTGCTTTTGTGATGCCTGAAGCTGCATTAAGGTGGTCTGTTGCATAGCCATCAAGGCTCGGATGCAGTCGTTTGTTGACATATCTTCTGGAATTCCGCCTGCGGTATCCTTAGATTTGGAAGAGGCCATTGATTCTGTTGGTGAGGCTGCAGGGTCTTGTTCGCGGTATCCAAGGAAGTGAGGGAGGTGTGATTTCTTTGTTTTGGTAGTGACAATAGTTGGTGATGTTGGAGGACGTTGATACTCGGTTGTAGGCGCTTCTGGGAGTTGCGCAATCGCCGGAGGCGGTGAGTTCGGTAGAGGGACGTGTACAGCTGTTTGAGTCAATTGGGCGGCTATTCGCTCGCGACGTCGCTTTTCGGCGTTGCTGGCTCTGAGAATGGCTTCTGGGTCGTCAGTTCTTGGTAGCAGAGGTTCGGTCTTTGACTTTCTTGTGGTCATGAACAACCGATCGTCTTGTTTCCGTTGGGGAGGTCAGGGAGTGAGGCACAGTATTTGGGAGTTGACGCGCTTTCAAACAACCTGAGCAGTTGTGTGACAGCGGGATTGTGGATGATAAAGAGGATAAAGACAAGGTGAAGTCTGGGGAGTCAATCAGAGTCGGTTGCGTCTACAAGAAGTCGCTCAAAGTCGGTTACGGGTACAGGAATTCGCTCAAGTTTAAAGTAATTGAAAAGATCCAGTGAAGTCGGAGAAATGCCGGTGGAATATGGAAGTCAAAGTCGCAATTCAATGAGAACTTGGGGAGGTCAAGTGAGGTGGAGAAGTCCGAGGCAGTCGGAGAAGTCGAGTGAAGTTGGTGAAGTCAAGGAGCTCAAGTACTTGTGGATTTTAAAAAAAATCAATGGTTTTGCTTGCGGATCTAGAAAAAAAAAGTGTAAGAGCCAGGAGCTCTTCACTATTCCGTACGTGCAAGACCAGAGTCTTGGAGAGATTCTAGAACCAGAATATTTTATTTCATTCAAAACTAGCTCAGAGAGTGAAGAATCAGAATTCTCTCTTCAAAGCTATGGAGGAAAGATAATCAGAGAGAGAGCCAAGAAGAGAAAGAAATGGGAAAACTCACCTAGCTCAGAGAGTGAAGAATCAGAATTCTCTACTGAGCTAGGGAAGGGCAATTGACGGGAATATAAAGGGGATTCCAGATTACATAATTTGTGACACTTCACCTTGTGAACCCCACAGTACGTGGGGGGCTTCACATGCTCATGAAGTATTGGTGGACTCATCTTCTGACACTTCAGAAGTTGTGTCCTCATGATTAATGTTTTCTGCTTGCTCGTCATGGGTGTCGGCTGTTTGAGGCCCCATGATCGGGTGCAAAAGGTCCCAGTGTGGACACACCCGGCGAGCGTAAACTGTTTAAGAAGGACATATATGAGCGAAAGGCCCTCCATTGTTGAGACAAGTGATGGTGGCAGGCGACTGACGTAGTATGATCCCATCATGTATGTTTGGCTCGCGTTGCGCATGGGCAATGAAATTGCGAGCGGTGTTGTATGATCGGCGCAGGAGCTGGATCCTGTGGTTAATCCCTGGGGGCATGTATGGCGTCAGCGGCTTCAGACTGTCATTTGATAGGATGAGATCATTATTGTGCTGTACCCCATACATGCCTATGATGGATGCCCTCATTCTCCATCAACTCAAGGATCTCCATGCAGATCCCTTCTCGATCGGGGTTTCCTGGGGCATCCCAGCGGGAGTAGTTTCCAGGCGTCGTGAGCCAATTGAGCAGGATTGTGAGGCTCGAAGGCCCACCGTTGATCGCATCCCGATCCCATCGGTGATCCCTACCCGCCTGTCTGCGGGTGACCCTTTGTGAATGAGGAGAGCTGGACATGCGTTTGGATAGGATGGTGGTGTGTGACTTGGATGCAAGCCACGATGTGTGTCTGCAGGAAGAACTCACACCAGGGCTCCGGCTGGTTTCAGAATGCCAATATCATCCGTCTACTCCGGCTTACCGGAAAGGCCCTCCTATGATTCAAGTGTTTCATGTGGACTCACGACAGGCCATCCGGGCAGTATCATGGGTGGTAGTGGAGCAGATGTTGTATTATGTGTTGCAGGTCTGAAATAAAAGAATGAGAATGACAACAACAATAATATTAAGCACATCAATGTTCGGACATCCATGGCATTGTGGGGGGATTGGTAACGGCGCAAGAGACATCTTGTAATCTAGCCATAACATAATGGTGGAATAGGAAAAAGCAGGCACAATCCCGCACAATGATGGAAGATATAAAAGGATAGGGCCCTATTCGGACCGATTGAGATACTTGTTAGCCACCGAATACGACGACACTGATGGATTGTGGCTACCGATACAAGGACTATAGACCCATCCTGAATGTTAGCTATTCAATACATGGATCAGTGAACTATGAAAACTGTGCCGTTACGCACCCGTTCACCCATAGATTGCCTTCAACAGACCCTCAACCTCAGCTGCCGACTTCCCTTGCGCGGCTTTCAGCTTCAACGCAGCTAGTTTGCTCTGCCCCTCGGCACCATCCTTGGCATGGGCAAGCTCCTTATTGTATTTTTCCTTCTCCCAACTGAGCCGATTGTCCTCCTTCTCCTTCTCCCACGCCATGTGTTGCTTGAGGTAAACAAACTTCTCTGAATTCGAGTTCTCGAACGCTGAAGCCAAGGTAGTCTTACCTTGCGTATTGGTATCTCTGACCGGCGCGGCCGGGCTTGGATTGGTAGAGCATTGGTTCGGGAACGCGCGCCGGCTGGTGCCCGCCAGGGAGGGGCGAGGGATGACCGACGTAGGCACTTGAGACACAGGGGTTGAGGAAACACCCGCCGAACCTTGGCTGACACAAGCGCGCAATATCTGTGTTGTCACGCTGGGCGAAGGGTCCATTGCGCTTCCACTGAAGTCTAGAGGCGGTGGGAGCTCTTCGTCATTGAGTTCTGGGTCGACTTGGGGTGTTGGAGTGAGCTGGCCAGTCAGATTCTCAAGTGCGGTTGAGCATCGGTTCAAATCCAACAGGCCGGCTGGTGTAGTTAACCCATATGGGGGTTGTTCGTCTTCGGCTTCTTCCCAACCAGAAAAGAACACCTCAGGCGACAAATCACGACTCTGCACCCCCC